GACATGCACACCCATCTGACCCAGACACACACCAGAGTAGACACGTGCGTGTGCCAACAACGGAAGTGATGGTATGAAAAAAGGCCGCTGATTTGTCGAATGCAATCGGTTAAGTGAATAATGGTTCCCGATGCAGGTGCAATGGATGGTTTCCGGGAATAGGTATAGTTTATTCTGGGAGAAAAATGAGCGAAGCCATGTTTGCGGGGGCTGTTCACCCTGGAAGCGACCCCATTGAATCCGAGCTCGCTGATTTAAGAGGTTATTTTTATTGATATTAAAGTAAAAGAAGAAAAAAAACGGGGAATCTATCTCACCTAGTTGAATCCGAGTTCTCTTTGAATCCGAGTTCCACTGTATTACTTACACAAAGCTAGAGCTAAGGAATTAAACTTAGTTTTGCTACTTAGTAAAACATATGTGTACACCTGAAGAACAGTTCTATTGCCTGTCATTAGACTCTAGAAATTGTAAGAGAGAACAAAACAGAAAGAAAAGAGGTGCCCAACATCTCCTGCTTAGTTTAGGTTTAATAAAGAGAAGCCCATAGGCACAATAACAGTCATTTAATGCATGGAAAACGCAGATAGACGGGCTCAGACAACAGACGAAAAGAACAGATACAGGACCTATCAATGGCCCTTTATGTGACTGATGAAAATCTCTTAATTCATTATACCCTATCATAGGTTAAGTGGGAAAATTAACTCAAATGAAGACTACGTGCCTATTTAGATAAATTCAAAGACAAGGTGGCAGTCCGAAAGAATAAAACTCTGCCTCAGGAGGACCCCAAAGAAGAAAAGACAATGACAAGTACCGTAAGTGTGTCAGCAGCCTTATTGTAGATGTCCATGTATGGGCGCAGAATATCAAAATGGAATGCTGGCGTGAGGAGACGTCTGGAACGGGCCCATGCATGTCCGTTAGCTGCGATCAAACCTTCCCCTATCCACGGAAGGGCATGCTCATAAACTGCTCCAAATCCTCGGCTTTTTGGGGCTTAAAGAAGAAATAACAATCATGGGAAAATGAAACTTCAATCAGAAAAATTGAAAAAGAGGATAAAAATAAGCGATGGATTTAGTGAAGAACTAGTCAAAGAAAGGAACAATTGTTTTCCAGTTGATCAATTAAGATCTTAATTTGTTCAAGACATGATTAGTGTCCTTTTCACTATGACAAAAGCTATCAGCATCAGGAGACGTTAAACAAACATATTGCAGTAAATGCTGAAGTTGCTTTACAGTCACATTTTCGAAACATCAAAAAAATGCATTCTTGTTGCCATTGACGGGCACTTAATCATTTATATCAAATTGATTTATGCTAAACTTTCTCAACTTCTCTCACTTAACTTACAAAAAACAGCAAGGATATCACACATCTGAAGACAATTATAACATCAGTGGACCTAATACTATTGACACATAAAGAAACTTTTACAAATAAGGAAATCTACATAATCAATTGAAGTTGAAGGTTATACCAAGACCCAACAGCTGTAACTCACTTGAAGATTTCAGCAACAGCTTTACAGTATCAGGATGATAAAATGTTAACACAGGCCGAAAAGGTCCAAACCAAAACCGAGCATACTTTGGGTGGCGTGTCAGCATGTTAGTCCGACCATATGAGATTCTGTCTTCTGCAACGGCTGGTAGCTGGAGAATGTATATTTATTACCATTATGCCTTATTTGCATTTTAGTCTCTGAAAGAACCACATACCACGACCTTCCTTTAAAGATTACTGTTTTTAAAAAGAGGTTGTCGGAGGGTGGATCAGAAAGCAATGAAAGTTCCCATCGAACTGTTAAAATATTGACTTCAAATATGTCTGCTTACGAACCAACCGTAGGAGTTTTCTGTGACGTCACTCTTGATAATTTATGATGTCATAAACAAAGGATGGTTTGTGCTTTGAAGGAAATTAAATAAGACACAGACTTCACAAAAGAAAACATTCATTTTACATCTTTGTGCACTTGGTGAATCCCCAAAATTTATTCATGAGAAAATGTGCAGAGGGTTTCTGGAGAATCTGTTTGCCCATATATATAACATAGTTTATAATTAGGTTAGAGAGTTTAGAGGAGGAGGAGAGACACTTTTTGATGATCCACGTTTTAGCGTCCCAAATTAAACTGAGAATGAGAAAACTGCTGATGTTATCTATAGCACCATATTGCACGAAATCCCCATAGCTCTAAACAAGAACATAGTGACATGTCTGGAGTTTTGTTTGGGTGAGTGCAAAAATAATTCATGGAGAACTCTATATATATATGAAAAACGAGTGTCCATTCGACACCCCATTTAATAACTGAGGGACATTAAAGAGACAAGGTGAGAAGTACCGTATGTACCCAAACGACTTGCATATATACACTGTCTTTGGAAATTAAACATGGATTCCTTTTTGGGAATTCCATCAAAATTCAAAATGCCAGGATTACATGCGGACAGATGAAAATGAAGAGGCTGTTGGTCTAGTATTTCAAAGCAGAAAGATGCTTCTTCAATTTCAGTAGTTCCCTTGTGATCATGTAACATTGTAATTCTACTAAAACTATGATTCTTTCTTACAACCTGCAATAGGTTCAGGTACTACAGATCTCCCATTGTCCTTTGCTCCATCTGCGCAAAATCCAATGTGCATTTATAACTATCTCAATAACATCACACATCCAACCACAAAATAAGTTTGAGTCGTATTATATATGCTTGAGTCCTATTTTGCTAACTTTTCTTTCTCATAAACATTAAGTTTATTTTAAAGGTAAAAGGAAAAAAACCCGAAGTGACTATTTCTCCGAACGTTCGGAGAAATAGTGCTGATCTTTATTTCTCCGAACGGTTTCCGGGAGTTCGGCGTCAACTTTCATTCTGCCTCTGGTCTGGGAAGGAACACCGCATGGCAAGCCCGTCTACAGACAACCTTCAGTAACACCCACCACCCACCCACCACCATCATGCACATGTACACACACTAACTAAACATGACCAGTGGGCAACTTTTGAATGTATGACGAGCTGAGCTGTG